AAAAAAAAATTAAAAAACGAAAAAAAAAATTAAAAATTAATTTTTTTAAAGAATTTCCTTAATCGAGTATGCTTCTTAGTCGATTAATAAAAGTGATACATAACAAAGTTAAGAAAACGAGAAAAAAAAACGGCCGGTAACCAGGGCGTGACACAATGATGATGTGGGCGCGGGACACAGTGATGATGTTGCGAGCGGGGGCAAAATTGTAAAAAAAGGGGCGGCTAAAACAAATACCGTTTCTTTCTCACTTCAATACCACCAATATAAAAAATAAAAAATAAATAGGCTCTTTGATATAACCCATCAATACTTTATTATTTTTATTTTATTTTGGTAATGAAGGAACCCGTAACCAACCATATAGGTGCATTGGGTAAACCTACACTCTCGTATAATAGCTTGGAAAACATATGAGAGACGTAAACCACACTAGGCTAACCATGTGTGACAAGCTCGACCTAGCGACCGTTGGCAAGGGGACTTGAACCTGAGTCAATTGACACAGAACCCTTTGCTCCAACTGCTAGGCCATCCCTTGCGGGACAAACCCCTCAATACTTGTTTTAATAGAGAGAGACCAAAACTATTTTGCACCATTTCAGAAAAAGCCCCTTCCTAATTTCAGCCATCTATTTTTTAAAATTATGCCCATGCCACCTCATCAACACTATCACCAATTATGTCCCTGCCTTTTTTATATATTTTTTTAATTTTTTTTAGTTTTTAAAATTTTTAAAAAATTATTTTTTAAACTTTTTTTTTTTTCGTTTTTTTAACTTTTTTTCTCTATCAAGTATATTAATCGACTATGAGATATAAGCATAGTCGATTAAGAAACTGACTACTAAAAAAAAACAAAAAAAAACACAACTATGTAAAAACGAAAATCGACACTATTTTTACATAAAAAATAATATACATAAATTTTAATTGATTTATACAAATCGGAATCAATACACAAAAATCTAAAAATGAATTAAAATAAAATCAAGTAACCTTAATCGACTACCAAAACAGTCGATTAACACTTTAATCGACTACCAGAGCATAATTGATTAACTTAATCGACTACCAAAAAAACACATAGTCGATAAAAGGTCCAGCATGCGCGAATTTCTCTACCCGCACCATCATCGGCATAATCTACCAAAAAACCCTAGATCTGCTCCTCGTTGTCACCACACCGCTGCCACACAACACTATCACCGGCACACTTCCATATTCCGACGGTTTTTAATGACACATAAAGTAAATTACAACCCGCACCACCAACCCAAACAAAACCACCACCATCAAAACCACCAAAACAAAGCCACCCAAACCCAATTTTCTTCATGACCACCGCCATATCAAAAAATAGGCAACCAAATCAAATTAAAAATCCATAACTTGCGGCGACGAAGAAGAAATCTTCGCAAAATCGAGAAACTGTGGGTAAGGGGAACGCTACTAGGGGTATTCGCGAGCGCGAGATCCTCCGCCGCGTCGTCGCCATAGTCTTCGTCGTAGATTTTCAGAAGTTGTTCGTGATTTAGATTTTAGACCATGGTAATGGCAAAGGGTGAGAGAGAAGTCTGAGATCTGAATATTGATAAGATAAACGAATTAAACGGCGCAAAGGAAGAAAAGGGTATGAAAAGATAGATATATAATTAGGGTTAAAATAGTTATAATCCAATAAGGGTAGTTTTGGAATTATGAAAATATCATTTGGATGGAATATTAACCAAGGGGATTTTCTCTAATTAATTTTGGGAGGGGGTGTTTCCTTAACTACATTTCTTAAATGGAGGGTTTTTGCTAATTTTGTTCTTTTAATAATTGGGCTCTTCGAGAAAATCCCCTCAAAGACTTCTTTTAATGAAGAGATGTCCAAAATATTTATCTCCGTTGAGAAAAGCACACACCCATTTCCAGCCATTATTTTTTCCAGCTTTGCCCCCGCCCGACACATCATCGCTGCTTCACGCGCTCAACGATTTTTTTATCTTTTTTTCCGTTTTTTCTTTCTTCTTTTCTGTATGAGTTTCCTTAATTGACTATGAAGCATAGTCGATTAAGGAAATTCATTAATTTTTTGTTTTTAATTTTTTGGTTTTTTGTTTTTTAATATTTTTTTTGTTTTTTAATTTTTTTTTCTATATCAGGTATATTAATCGACTATGATGACGCATAGTCAATCAAGAACCTGCTACTAAACATAACAAATCACAACTGCAAAAAAAATGCAAAATCAACTATGTTTTACAAAAAAACAAAAAATATACAAACATTAGAATTGATTTATACAATTGGAATTAACAAACAAAAAAATCCAAAAAAATTAACCTTAATCCACTACGAAAGCATAGTCGATTAGCTTAATCGACTATTGAACATATACATAGTCGATTAAGGTTCCAGTCTGCGTGAATTTTTGTACACGCGCCGTCCTCCGCCCGATCCACCAAAAAACCCTAGATCTGCTTCCCCATCGTCACCACAACACGCCGCCACACCACACATATGCATCCCACGTCGTCGCAAAAAAATATTATTTACCAATAAAATAGACAAAAATCATAGTTAATCTATAATTGCTTTAATGCAATGGGAAGCAGGGTCAAGTCAGCAGGTAACACTAGCTAGTTTCGAATCAGACAAAAGCAAATGGGGTTGGAATTGGTTGGAGAGATGGATGGTTGTTCGCCATTGGGAAATCTGCCACAAATGAAAACTCCTTCTCGTTCAATCCAGAACGAGAAAAGGGTTGTGTCCTATTCTGATGGCTGCAGTCGTTCTTCACCCAAATATGTCGCCCAATGTTCGTCAGAGCAGTATTTAACGGCGTCAGCCGAATTCTGATCGAGAAGAGAAGAAGAAGAAGATTGAGAGAGAGAGAGAGAGAGAGAGAGAGAGAGAGAGAGAGAGAGAGAGAGAGAGAGAGAGAGAGAGAGAGAGAGAGAGAGAGAGAGAGAGAGAGAGAGAGAGAGATAGGAAAAGAAAAGAATAACATGCGTAAGATGAGATGTTAAAATTTAGGGTTATGAGTAATGATATAATTGGAAGATTACCTTTATTAATTATCCAAGTTAACAACAAAAGGGGTTTTCTCTAATTATTTTTTGCAGGGGGTTTTCCTTAACTATATTTCCTAGATGAGGGATTTCTTATTAATTTTCCTTTTAATAATAGTACACACATAAAATAGTTTTAATAACTAAAAATTTCAAAATTAGCGAGTAGGATGTTTTATATAAAAATTCAAAAGCTAATATATCATTTAATTCTATCAAATTCTCTCTTTTTAGAAGTTTTGAACGACATTATTTCGGAATAATATTACATAAAGAATTTTAGTAAACGTAGACGCTTTATTTAAAAATTCAAAACTCAATACATCTCATCTTAATGTTTCCAAACTCTTTTTTTATAAGTCTTACTGTGACTTATGTTTCAATTGTAGATATTTTGGACAGAGGAGGATTTGAACCAGGAACATTTGTACCCATTGGATTACAACTCAGATTTGTAAATTATAACATGTGTCAAAATATAACACAAAATTAATAAAAAAATAAATTAAATGAGGGTGTAGTATTAAGGCAATGTTTGGAAGCGTTTTGGATCTTATTTTGATTTCATTTTGAGGAAATATGTTTTGGGGAATTAATTTGAGAATGAAAGTAATGTTTGTTTGTATTTTGGAAGGAGACAAAATACACTGTACCAGTCAAATCATGTTTAAAGGTGTTAGCAATTACAATATATTTTCAATAATTTGAGAATGAAAGTAATGTTTGTTTGTATTTTAGAAGGTTTTTTGTTGTTGCACCACCGCATCCGCCGCGCCACTAAGATGCCAATACTCGAAAATCTCCACCAATTGGATGCACGAATCTCAAACATTGAATAAGAGAAATTCGAAAACGGGAGTGGAGAGAATCAGAAAAATGAAATGGAAGGAGTTTAATAATTTTTGTTTCTTTTCTTCGTCGCGATTCAAGCAAGGCGGGCGGTCTTTCGGTTTCTCCACTTGGTTTTTGCTGGAAAAAGTGTCACTTTGAAGAAGCGGGGCTGGGAAGATGCCTTTTTCTGGAAACATGAAGGATTGAATTGAAAATTTGAAAACTTCACTTTGGATTTAAAACTTTTGGTGCGAATCTATAATTAAAAAAAGTTCTAATTCAATGGTATTTTTGTGGTGTTTGCAAAAGCTTATTTAAAAGTATAAGTTAATGGTTGTGAGTTAAGTTGATATTAAGTGCTTAATTTTAAAAGATGGGGGTGTTTGCAAAAAATCTGGAAATCAATTTAAATAGAAAAAAAAGCAGGTACATGGGTGGTTTTAAAATTATAGTTTAAAACAACTTATTTTAAGAGAAGTAAAAGCAAAAGCCGATTTTACGAACACCTAAAAGCAGATTATCTGGAGAAAAATGCTCATAATTTATTTTTAAAAGTTTTTGCAAACACCACCTTAAATCTTTTTAGGCAAAAAAAGGCACCCCTACTCGCATATATGGCGAGTGTATGGCACGCACACGATAAGCTGTCAAGAACCTTTTTGGCTTTGACAATTTTTTATAAGGGGGGTCTTCCTAATGTTTTGAACATGGGAATGTTTCCGACAATTAGAGATTTTACAGCGGTAGTTTCTAAAAAAAAAAAAACCCTAAAAGTAGTTGCGTTAAAATTTGAAAAATTATAGATTATGCAACATATTCTGGAGCATAGAGGAAAATAGTTTGAGATTGTTTTGCAGTTGCAAGGTTATACGTAGCACCGACACACTTAAATATTTACTTATTTATGTTCCTCAAGTTTTTTAATTAATTATGCCATTATGGCATAAAAGGAAACAAAAGTTCCGAACAGAGTTCATTAAATATATAATTCCTATTGTTCCTAGGATTAATGAATTTACAGTTTCATATATATATATATATATATATATAAGATAAACTCCTACTTGTCTAACAATCACTTACTCTCTTTCTCTCTCTAGCTCTCTCTCTATGGCATCAAAGTCGAAGAAACTATTTGAGATTGAGGAGAAAGCCTTTGGAAAATTGACTAGGGTTCTTTCAATTGATGGCGGTGGCGTTAGAGGAATAATCCCAGCACTTATTCTTGATTTTCTTGAATCAGAGCTTCAGGTAATTAATTACATATAGAGTTTCTTGTTTTTCTCCTGAATTTATTTATTTGTCCAATTTGTAGCAAAACGAAAAAAAAAAAAAAGATTATATATGTTTTTCTTTACGTGCGCGTGTGCTCAGAAATTGGACGGTGATGAAGCGAGGATTGCAGATTATTTCGATATAATTGCTGGTACAGAAACCGGCAGCGTGACTACTGCAATGCTTACTGCCCCAAAACTAAATAATAATCGCCCGTTGTTATCTGCAAAAGATATCAAAGAATTCTACATTGAGCACTGCCCTAATATTTTCTCCAAGAGGTAATTTTTTTTCACTTGTTGTAGTTTTCAAGTACTATATATATATATATATATCGTTTAAGCGTGTTGCTTAAGTCTTTCGTTCTTGAATTTTACTTAATCGTTGTTGGTTCAGAAATAATGTGTTTAGCCGTGCTGCAAAGATGGTTAAATCTTTTTCCGGGGCAAAATACGATGGCAAATATCTCCATTCTCTTCTCAAGGAGAAACTCGGGGACACAAAGTTGCATGAGACTCTAACTGATATTGTGGTTCCTACTTTTGATATCATCACAAGTAAACTACTCTTATTCTCCAACCCTAAGGTGGTTTGTGTCTATATATATATATATATTTTTTTCCCAATTTAATTGATGTATAATTAATCTTCTTTCTGTATAAATAACACGACTCGTTATTATTTAATTAGGTGAAGAAGAATAATCCGATGTTGAATGCTTCACTGGTAGACATCTGCATGGGAAGTTTAGCTACTCCGACTTATTTTCCTCCACATTGTTTTGAAACAAAAAACTCAAACGGAGAATCCACGGAATTCACCCTCGTTGGCCCTATTATTGCTAACAATCCGGTATATATAGTTTTTTTGCAATTTCAGTATGAGTTCAACATACTCTATGACAATTGAAATTCAAGAAAATATATATAATGACTTTTCTTTTTTTTTTTTTTTGGGTTTCGATTTGCAGACGATTGCCGCATTGGCGGACGTACCGATTGAGGCTCGTGCAAGGCTTGTTGTTTTATCGCTCGGAACATGTACGCCTAAATACAACTCCAAAAAGGCAAAGGCATGGGAATTTTACAAGGCTACCATGTCGAATGCACTTCGTAAGGGTGTAGCAACACTGACTGGCTATGACTGGCTTTTGTACCATCAAGACTCTTGGCCTGAAATTGGCCTCGTACACAATAATTACCTTAGAATTCAGGTATATCATTATTTCTTTCAAATTTTTTTCAACATAAAAATTAAAATAAATTATTCTAATGTCAATTGGTACAATTTCTAACAGGACGATTCGTTACGTGGAGCGTGTCAGTCTTCTGTGGATATTGCGACGAAGAAGAATTTAGAAGATGTTGTGAAGATCGGAGAAAGATTGTTGGAGAAACAAGTATGTAGCATTGACCTCTACAGGAGATATTATGTGCCATGTGATGGTGAGGGAACAAACAAGGAGGCACTGATTAGGTATAGTACCCACACACATTTTCTTGATTTATTATCAAGTTATTAATTGTGCTTTTAATTTTAATTACAAATAATTAATAACTCGATTTCGTTTGAATATCGATTATAGGCTAGCTGCTGTACTATCGAAGGATAAGCGACTTCGAGATTCTACTAATAACGGTCTCAAATCAGGTTGCTGATATGGTTGCTGCTTATACTTGATGATCAGATGTCTTATTTGAGGTATATAGCATGGAAACAATTTTTAGATTATATATGCTGACATTTCATATAAGTACTTAGAAAATTAATTAACTCAGGTGTTTAACTCAATCTGAGTAAAGTGAAGAGAAATTAAATTGCTTCTTAATTGATTTTTTCATCTATGCATGAAATTTAATATTTATACTTATTATTGGAAAATACGTCTAAGGCCGCGTTTGAGGGTAAATAGCATAAAACCCCCCTGTGTTAAGGAAATCATGCGCCAAAGCCCCCTGTATTTTTTTTCTTGCATAAAAACCCCAGTCTTTCATTTTACTTTGCACGAAATCCCCCTTTTCGTTAAAAGTTAACACCGTTAACTATAGAGGGGATTTTATGCAATTTTTTTGATAATAGAGGGGGATTTAGCTCATATTTTCTACAATACAAGGTGATTTTATGCAAAATTAATTTATTCATAAAAATTTCACATTATTTTCTTAAAGTAAGTCGAACACATTAATTTATTCAGTTATAATATGAAAAATAGAAATTTAATAGGTGCGTGAACAATTTAAAATAAAATAAATTTTTATATGATATAATTTATTAACGTATTTAAGAATTTTAATTTTTTAAAATATATAATTATTTTATTAGAACCATCATCTATTTTTATAATATTCTGGATTAATTAAATGTGAAAAGAACATAAATAGTTTAACAATTCGTTCCAACTTCTATCTCGAATATTATTTTTTTAGTTTTTATATTTTAGACTAATAGATGTATTAGACTTAATTTAAGAAAATAATTTGGATTTTAAATGAATAAATTAATTTTGCATAGACACCCTTGTGTTGCAAAATCATGCACCAAATCCTCCTATGTTATAAAAAACTTGCATAGGCCCCCCCCCCCCCCCCCCCCACCCCCACCCCAAACCCTACCTACGGCCACTTTTCCGCCGCTCACTCCGCCGCCGATCGCCGCCGCCGCCAGCCCCGCCACGCACAATCATGGGTGACCTAAATCTGCCCAAAAAAAGAGGAAAAACAAATTAAATTTGAAACTGGTAAAAATCGACACCAAGGTGTCGAAAAACTATGCTACAAATTGACACTTGAGCGTCGAATTGCATAGGTAAAAATCGACATTGGCATGTCGAATTTACAGTACAAATTCAAATGTCGAATTTTATACCTCAAAATCGACATCTAAATGTCGATTTTTACCTGTAAAATTCGATCTGTACATGTCGAATTCGTTTGTGCGGGATTTTTTTTTTGGAAAATCGATATTCTAGCTAAAAAAACCGATAAATGCATAGCTTCTTGGGTTCTTCCATCGTAGAATCTTCTATTTTGATGTCTTCTGACTCCATACTTACCATCTTTGTAAGATTTGTTGAGTTTTGATGATTTTGAATATCTAGGTTTTGTGGTTTATGGAGGAGGAAGGAGAAAGGTCTTGTGGGTTTTAGAAGATGAAGAAGATGAGAGTTTGTCTATTGGTTTTGTGGTCTTGTATAAGGTTTTTTGTGTTTTTGAATTTTTGGTCTTGCACATTTAGAATATTCTATTTTTTTAATAAGTAAGGGTATTATAGTATTTATACACTGAAAATTTTAATTTGGTCTTGCACAAGTGGAATTAGTCTTGCATATAGCCGCAACCTTTAGTATTTATCTCTGAACCTTCACCTCTTATTAATTATGTTAAAATTGTGTGTATTTGTTCAGACATATCTCTGAACACATTCTAGACAAATTTATCCTCATTAAAATTTCAAAAATCTAATATTGTCTTCCATGGCTTTGTATTCAATTGACAAGTATAGTAGATACAATGCAAAATAATAAAACGTAAATGGGAAATTAAAATCCTTTGAATTTTGTATGATTTTAATTGAATAAATTTTTAAATTGTAGTTTTGAATGACTTTGATTGAAGTATTATTTATACAAAAAATTATCTAATTCCAATATATCACTATAAGTGCATCTATTATTTTTAGGGGTTCATATGTTTGGGTCCCTCGTAGCAAATTTAATTAGAACTAAATGACAACTTTAAACAATTTTTTTACTCCTTATTTCAAAATATAATATGTCTCACATTCCTAAATTTTTTTTATCCCTAACTTACCTTTATACCCTAAATATAATCTCTAATTACGTCTCTCCAACCAAAATTTGTTTCTTTTCGTTTATTCTGTCTTTATCTCGTTCTTCCGTACGCTCCCGCTCTCTTGTTCTCTCTATCTCTATCTCTCCCCCTCTCTATCTCTCTTGCTCCCAGCTATGGTGGGTGGCTATGACGGCTACGGCGGCGGTGGAGGTGGTCATGGAGGCGGCTATGGACGCCACAAGTAAGGTGGGGGATGCTATGGAGGCGGTCATGGCGAATGGCGACGGCTAGGAGGCGGTGCGTATGGTGGGGGCCGGGATTGTTATGGAGGCGGCTATGGTGAGTGGCGGTGGCTATGGAGGCTGTGAGTATGGTGGAGGTAGTTATGGAGACGGTTATAGGCGGTGGTGGTCGCAGTTACGATGGGGGTGGTTATGGAGATAGGGAAGGACCGAGAGGCGAAGAATATGGAGGTGGTGGCGGCTATGGTGACGGTTTTGCAGATCTAGATTTTTATTTTGTAGGCTATGGCGACGATGGTTGTAGATCTAGTGTTTTATTTTGGATGGGAGTAGATGACTGGATTATGTGGTGTCTATGATTGTCTATGCCTGGCTGGCGGCTAAGGTTCAAATAAGGACTTATGATTTTTGAATTGTGCAATACAAATGACTATGGGTTGCTGCGATTACTACGGGTTGCCTAGCTCTCGGGCTTTGAGGCGAATTGCGCTTCGTAAAATCAACACTTGTTCGCAACCCTTACGCGACCACGTCTCTAACCTCTTTTCTATCAACTCAGAAAAAGTATACGACCTTACGAGCAGGGCAAAACCAGGAAATTATAGTAGAGGGCCAAAAATATTAAATATCTAATAGCTCAAAAAAGAAATGAAATAGTATTTAACGGTATATATATATATATATATATATATATATATATATATATATATATATATATATATATATATATATTAATTACTTGAAAAAAACCGCTAGCGCGACTCAAAAAAGCCTAATTAAGTGGTATTTTTGTAATTTTTTCTCTACTTATTATCTAATTATATTTTGGTAAATAACATTAAACTACCTAAACCTTTGCTCAAGGGAATATCATCTCATAAAAAAAAAGTTGCATGATCACACCCAAATTCATTATTTTGTGCCAAGTTCTCTATTTTCTGGCTATTTTGGTTGGAAATCACAACGTATGCATTGCACTGCATGACTATTTCAAGGCCTTGATTGTTTTTTTTCAAATTAAAATCCCCTAATATATATTGTGCGTTTTGTTTTTTAAATAAACAAATAAAAAGGCGAAAACGACGTCTTTTTACTGCCTTGATTAAAAAAAATTAAATCAATATAAAAAAATTGAAATTGGAAAAACATATTATTTTAGATTATAATTTGGTTAAAATACACTTTACCCCATATAATGCTCTATGTAACACTTACCCCTCATAGTATTATGAAATATATACTTACCCCCTTCAATTTAATTGTCTACATATTGAACCCTAATAGTGTTCGTAATAAAATAAATTTAATATATTGTTAATGATCCTAAGTGACACACTATTTTCATTTAAAAAATAAACATGTATTATGAACGAATTAAATAAACATTTAAAATTGAATTTGTTTTTGAAATATTGGATTAAAAATTATTTACTCGTTAAATATTTAAATTAAAAACTAATTTCAGATAGTATAAATGTTCATATATTGGATGTAATCATTTAATTCATGAAACTGTAAATTAAAAATTAATATTTATTTGTAACATCATACTTCGTACAATTAATCCTAAATGAGAAAATTTAATTTAATCCAATATTTGAAAAATATACATGTTAAATATTTATTTAATATATTTATTTTAATAAAAACAAGGTGCCATTTCTTAGGAATTATTAAAAATGTATTGAATTTGATGATAAAATTATATAAAAAGAATTAATATTAAAACCGTTAGTAATAAAATAGGTTGGCCGTTAAGTTGAAGGGGGTAAGTGTTACCTAACGTATAGTACAAGGGGGTAAAGAGTATTTTACACTTTCCTATAAAATAAAGTGTACTTTATGCTTCTAATTTCTATAATATTTGAAATGATTTGTGCCGTTAAGTTGAAGGGGGTAAGTGTTACCTAGCGTATAGTACTACAAGGGGGTAAAGTGTATTTTACACTTTCCTATAAAAAAAATGTATTTTACGCTTATAATTTCTATAATATTTGAAATGATTCGTTTGTGATATGTGTGTTGATATCTATGTTGTGTTGTGTGTGTACAAGAGAAATAGGTTTGATTTACATTTTAATTGGAACGAGTAATGAGTTAATGTTTGTGAAAGAAAATACGTTTATTATTAGGGGAAATATGCAATACACCCCTTATTTGGAAAATAATTTGAACTAAACCCAATTGACTTTAAAGACTTTTCCCATAACCCATATCCCAATCTAAATTAGTGAGACCCCCCTTACCAGCCATGATAAGACTAAAGTGCCCCTATGTATTAGGTTTTTAACCTAATACAATTTTATTTATCTCTTTCATTCTCTCGATCTTTCTCTCTGTTCTCGGCTCTCTCTCTCTCTTTCATTCTCTCGTTCTTTCTCTGTTCACGTTCGTTCTTTTTTTTTTTTTCCCTTCTTCTTCAGATCTGTAAACCGCCGCCGCCGGAGTCAACAATATCCTTCAAACTCTGCCGGCCGAAACCCGTTGCAGGAGGCCCTCCTCCGCTGATGTTGGAGATCGTCTCCCCCATCGTCAATCACCACCACATCGACGCCTGGTACAATTGGCGGCGGCGCCTCCCCACCTTGTCGCCGCCTCCGTCGGATTTCTACATGGAGATATTCCTTCTCTCGGCGCTGAATACCAATTTATACTATATTAATTGGTAAATTTTATTTTTTTATTTTTCTCGAATTAATTGTCGAACTAGCAATAGAATATGTTATGGATTTGAATTTCAGTTCTATTATTTGTTTGTTATGAACGCGTAATTGATTTTCAATTATTCTGGATTTTATTAATTTTTGTGTTATTCTGCATATTTTGAATGTTTAGATCTGGAAAACCATTGAATTTCGAGATTAGTCGGTTGTAGTGCAGTGTATTTTACAGAGTAGTCATATTTTGACAGAGTAGTCATGTTTAACAATTTAATTATATATGTCCTTTTTTTTTTGTAGTGCATATGTTCAACATTCAACAGTGTAGTCATATTAACACACAAGATCAAACGGAAGATTAGGTGCAGTCGGTGCAACCGAGTTGAATACCGCAACAAAAAAACATGTTCGATGGCCATTGTTGAAAGATCACATTAGTTATTTTTTGTTTTTTTTAGTCATTTTTTTCTTTCTTTTTGCAATGTATTTTGCTATTAATATTGCAAGTTTTTCAAGTGCTGATTACTTGTAGTCACATTACACAAAACCTAGTCACATAATAGTCATGTTCTCACTGTCCTCTTCAGTCACTGTTATACAAAGTACAAACCGTAGTCACATAATAGTCATATTCTCTCTGTTTTTGTTAAGAATCATGCTTCTACTGTCTGTTAATTATAATGTTTTACAAAGCACAGTCACATTCACATAATAGTCATATTCTTACTGTTATCTTAATAATTATGCTTCTACAATATGTTAATTACACTGTTATACACAGCGTAGTCACATAATAGCCATATTCAACTATAGTCATATTCGGAGTTGTAAATCTGTCGAGAAAAAAAATCAATTTTTTGTTTAAATAAAAAAAAATTATTAGAAAAATATTAAAAATATAAATAAATAAAAAAATGGCTAAAAAATCCGAAATAATAAAAAAATAAAAAAAAATCATTTTTTTTGATTTGGTAGCAAATTTTTAGGAATTTGGAAGCAGATTTTTAGGAATTAAATTATTGTTATGGAAAGAGAGAAAAAAGGAATAATTGAGACTAATTATGCTAATTGACATAAGGGTAGAATTGGAAATACAAATTCTAGGGGTTTATCACAAAGAAAGATTTAAGGGGTGGACATATCACCATTTATTATCTATATGAGGGGTTTATTGCTAATGACCCCTTATTATTATAACAAATTATATACAAACAGTTATAAAATAAAAAAAATAAAAATATCGGTCCAACCATGACCCAATAGCTTGTTGGGGTCAATGTCCGATTTGATATTCAAATCATTGGTCTCCATATTAGATTCCTACAATAAGGAAAGCAACTTATTAACAAAATATTCCATTGAAGTGGGATTTGAAAATATATATTATATTTGCCATGCAAAAAAGGAAATTGCCATTCTGAGATTATTGGACACGTCGGATAATAACAAAAGGAAACGAAGTCACGGAAAAAGTTGATAAAATATTTCCTTTTCTTTTTAAAGGAAAAAAAGTTCTGAAAAGTGTTGATTAATATCTCCTTATGGATTAGAAGATAGCTATATATACAACGTAACATAAACTCCTACTATTTGACTCACAAACTCTTTTTGCGTCTTATCATACGAGCACTTTGTTTCTCTCTCTCTAGAAGAAGAATTTACTTTGTTTATTTTTTTTAATGGCATCAAAGTCGAAGAAAGTATTTGAAATTGAGGATCAAAGCTTGGGAAAATTGATTACCGTTCTTTCGATAGATGGTGGCGGAGTTAGAGGACTAATTCCAGCAGTTATTCTTGCTTTTCTTGAATCCGAGCTTCAGGTAATTTACATTACTCGTTCATGATCATATATAGATAATATATAGAGTTCCTACTGAAATTATTATTTCAACAATATATAAGAAAATAAATAATTACGCATGCATGTTTTTTTTTTTTTTTTTTTTGATATGTTCAGAAATTGGATGGTAAAGACGCGAGACTTGCAGATTACTTTGATATAATTGCTGGTACAGAAACTGGTAGCGTTACTACTGCAATGCTGACTGCTCCAAAACGAAATAATCGTCCGTTATTTGCTGCAAAAGATATCAAAGAATTCTACATGGAGCACTTCCCCAATATTTTCTCCAAGAGGTATAAAATTTTGTTGTAATTTTAAGACATCTCGTAAATATTTATAATATATAGTTCCGAATTTTAATTAGTGTACTTGTTGGTCAATTCAGGAATAATTTTTTGAGCCGTGCTGCAAAGAGTGTTAAATTATTTTTCGGGCCAAAATACGATGGGAAATATCTTCACTCTCTTCTCAAGGAGAAATTTGGGGACACAAAGTTGAATGACACTCTAACAAATGTTGTGATACCTACTTTCGATACCCAGCCCCTGAGACGTAACCTAACCGTATTCTCCAACTATCGGCAGGTTTGTGCGTGTATATATTTATTTGATTTTCAACTTAATTTACGTACATGCAATGATCTTCTTTCTGAGTTCATAACATAGTTCGTTATTCAATTAGGTGATGAATAATCCGAATTCGGACGCTTCACTCGTAGACATATGCATGGGAAGTTTAGCTACCCCGAGTTATCTGCCTTCCCATTACTTTGAAACAAATAACTCAAACGGAGAATGCACACCATTCAACCTCACCGGGGGTGTTGTTCCTAGCGATCTGGTATATATTTTACACTTTCAATTTGAAATTCGAATATTTTATACCTATACTTAGTTTTTTCTTTTTTTTGTTTTTTTCTTTTTCTTATGGGATCGATTTCAAGATGGTGGCCACAATGATGGAAGTAACATCGAAGGATCCAATGCAGATGTTTGGTTTGACCTCATTCGCGGACATATTGACAAAGGAGGATCGTGAAAGGATTGTTTTTTTGTCCCTCGGAACTTGTTTGCCCAAATACGACTCGAAAAAAGCAAAGGCATGGGATCTTGAAAAACCTTCCATGTTAAATAAACTTCGCCAATTTGTGGCAGTAATGATGGATTATGACTGGCTTTCGCACTTTCAATACATTAATTGTCCGGAAATTCGCCTAGAAAATAACTACCTTCGAATTCAGGTATTGTATTTATTTTATATTTTCCAGCAATAGTAAGAAAAAAAAAATCACTTTCTGGCCTCCACATTAAAGTATTTAAACTTCAAAGTAGTCGATACTGATATCTATACTTATGATATTTATATGATTATCAAGGATGATTCGTTAAGTGGAGTAACATCGTCTGTGGACGTTGCAACGAAGAAGAATTTGGGAAACGTTGTGAAAATCGGAGAAGGTTTATTGGAGAAACAAGTTTGTAGCATTGACCTTCACAGTAGAACTTATGTTCCTTCTGATGGTGAGGGAACAAACAAGGAGGCATTGATTAGGTACGTCACAAGTCTTTTTAATTACATACTTCTCACACTTTTCTCGAAGAAAAATTAAGTTGAGATTTCAACAATAAATAATAACTTTATTTTCGTTGAAATTTCGATTGTAGGCTGGCAGCTGTACTATCTAGGGAGAAGCGACTTCGAGATTCTGCTAATACTAAAAATAGTAGCTTCAGCTTACGGTGATGGTCTCGAATCTATGGTTTCGGCTTGCTCTACTTATTGTTGATGATCTCATCTTTTGCTTAGTTCAGACAAAAGTTAGTTAGTTGGTTGTCAAGTTTTATTGCTATGTTTTATGTTTCCCATTGTTGTATATATTATAACATGGAAACGATTTATAGATCATGCTGAGTTTTCATACGAGTAGGCAGAAAAAAACACAAATTAAATTGTGCGTTGCAAATAAATTTATTTTTACTTCATATTTCCATATATTTATTTCTCTAATTATTTAGTTATACAACTATATTATTGAGTTAACCATGGTCAAATAAAAATACAGCTACATGGAAGCATCGATGATGAAACACAAACTATTGAAGGGATTGATTAAAGATTCTTATCAATATTTGGACAAATTGTCAGAACTAATTGCCCAATATAAAATTAGTTTTTATGTATACTACATGTAAATTAGTTGGAAATAAAAGTATGATTATATTATTTTATGTACATGCATTGTGAATTTAATAATAAAACATAAAAAAGAAAAAAAGGAAAACTTAAACCCCAAGAAGAGAGGTTTAAGAAGAGAGAAGATTTGTTGGATCTCTTTGATTTGGACGAAGAAAAAGTGAAAAACCATAAATATATGTATCTATCTATATATTATCTTTTTTTTCAATACTAATTATAAAAGTGTAAATAATAGGGAATGTTTCTTTCATTTTTTGTATGGACAAAAATATAGGTTCAATAGGTAGAATTTGAAGGACAAAAAAGTAATACGGGTTGATAATAATTAATAAGTAAGACAAATAATATACAATGAATATCTGATTTTTTATCTAGTGACCCGCTCTGATGCCAATTATTGATTTTAAATGCCTATGAAAATCTACTCATATGTTGAGAGATGTCAATTATTGATTTTAAATGCATATGAAAATCTACTCATATGTTGAGACAAACTACGTGTTACGACAATAGGTGTGGTAACAGAATTCTTGTGTTGTCACAGTAATAAATCTACTAAAAGTAGAATAAAGAACACAAGAATTTAATGTGGTTCGGATACAAATGTACCCTACATCCACGAGGACTTGCAAAACTAGTTCGGATTTATGTGTACATTAATAGGACTTAATAAAAACACTAAAGACTCATCTTTATGTAATATGCCGTTCTTGCACACGACTCGAACTTGTTGATAATCAAAGCAATTCCTCCTCCGCACTCTTGGACTTCCTCCAATGTTGAACTTCCTTCAAACGGCGGATCGACCTCTCCCGAGATCTTTTAAGGCTGCACCCTTCTAAGCCTGAGATTTTTCTTATTAAAGGTTCATGGGACTCATATGAGGTTGAGGGCCTTATATAGGCACGAAATCCACCACCCTAAACCTAACTTGGGCCCTAAGAAATCGATTAACTAGGTAATAGAATCCTAGTCGATTTCTACTTCTATTCTAGGTAAGTACAAAAGATAGATAACTAAAATATAATACATGGAAATAAATCTAAGTCCTAATAACAATATTACAAAAATATGACTCTAATTAATTCCAAAATAAACATGAAAAACAAATATTTGCCAATCTTTAATTTCCACTTTAATTTCCACGTATGGCAGATTTCTTCAATCTTCACTTACAGAAATCTGACGCCAACAATTATATTATATTAATCATTAATGAATTACATAAAGTAGCCATTCGTGCATGAATGGCATTGTAACCAAACCGTAATATTGACCTTTGGTTTTCTCCTCTTGATTGAGGAAAGTTTCTTTTATTTTGCCATCTCATATTTATGCAAACTTTAAATAGTGCATGATTAAAGAAATTAGAGGGTCTTAAGTATTCTTTAGGTTTGAGGTGTCTATTCATCTTACAAGATGGGGTAATATTTCATCGAATCTTACGAGGACAAGATACTATTGATAAAAGAAGAACGCTTCCCATGTAGAATAATATTCTAGCTTCCACCGAAAAATTGTTTGTCTGAATCGAAACGATGGTTGAAGACAAGAATTAGCGGGCACCGAGACGATGTTTGGATCCCCACAGTTTATAGGAAAAACGCATGCAGGCATCACATTTTTGTTTCTATCGTGTATGTTTCTATATTATTGAAATAAATATTTTCAAAGAAAATATCATTTCTCGCATATGGCTGCTTTTGATATATTCTACAATGACACATATGGTTTGATGTTTTCATGTTTTGAATTACTGGAGTATATTCATGATGTTAGTTATATATTTTGAAGATTTAATTTGTCAATTATTTTGTAACGTAAGTAAAGTTTCTTAGTTCTACTCCATCTTGATTCGACATTTCTTACCGACAGGAAAATAGAGAGCGAAGGTGAGCAAATGGATTCGTACATGCATGTGTCGAGTATTTTCAAAATCAATTTATTGATTCAACGAAAAAACATTAAAAAGCTTCCGAATATTAGTATAATAATTGTAAATCAATATGATCAACGCTACATAAATTAGCTAAATGTCATTAACACAATTTTTTTGAGATAATTAGTGAAAACCCCCACATCATTTACATATTAGGGTAGATATAACCCTTTTTTCAATATTAGTCAAACCTCCTTAATTACTAAATTTAATTATTCTTTTTAAAATTGCTATGAATAATATCTAATTTGCCCTTAATGTTATATTATTTCACACCTGCCCTAATTTTATTACGCCATTCAACCGCCTCCATCTTCTTTTCTCTGATTTATGTCATTCTCTCCATGCCCCATTCCGTCTCTTTTCTCTCTCCTGAATAAATCCATTGTGAAAAGGAAAGAATCACTCCATCATAGCCTCCACCACCCACCATTGAAAAGCATAGCATGAGCCGATGACTTTAGGAACAACCTCAAGGACGCGCTCGTATCGCTCTCCACTCCCTCAATATTGATGTCCAAGCCGCCAGATCTGAAGTTCTCGTCCCGCCGCCGGTGCCATCGCTCCGATCTCGATTTAGTTGTTGAAGACGACATCAAAAACTCAAAAATCCCTCCCTACCTCCACCCCTCAACTCCACCGCCGATATAGAGACTTTGTTGCCCCCGCATCTGCCCTGTCGTCGCCATAGTTCTGATTTTTTCGAATTTTTTTTATGCTTTTGATGTTAGATATTTTTACTGCAAATAGTTGTTTTGTTATTCGGCTATTTTTTATAGATGTTTTCGTTATCCTGCTATTTCTTTTAGTTGTTTTCGACTTTTATGGTTGATTTTCAAGTTTTTGGTAGTTGATTTTGATTTTTTATTTTTTTATCCAATTATATGACCTGCTGGAAAAATAAAAATCAAAAAATATGAATTAAAAAAATTAGTTGATGTATTTTTAGTTGTTTTCGACATTTTTAGTTGATTTTGATTTTTTATAGTTATTTCAATAATATGTAGTAATTTGTCAATTTGGTAAATTAGTTTGGAAAAGGTTCGTTTTGGATTCAAAATAAATGATATGAAAAAAAAAATGAATCTTTTGGTTGATTTTCAGAAAATTTTTAGTCGATTTCGAAAATATTATAGTTGATTTTGGAGAAACGAAACTAAAAAATGTTGAAAATAATATTATTTTTTAGTTATTGAAAAATATTTATAAAAATTATTTAAAAAGTTGTTTTTCTAAATAAACAAAACGAAAATTAAAATGGAAAATAGAAAAGAAATAAAATAGGTATGTGCAACAAATTGTAGGGAAGGGTAAATTTGATAATAAATAAAAGTTGGGTTTATCACTAATAAAGAAAAAGTGACTAGATCCATCATTATTAAAAAAATGCTTGAGGGGATTTTCACTAATAGTCCCATTTTTACCATTAATTAGTTTAGAAACAAATGAATTGTCAAAAGAAAAAAAAAAGTGTTATATTCCAAAAGAACATGATGTGATCCATATTTGACATTGTATTATTAAGCTTTATCGATTGGGTTATCATAATATTGTTTCGACTATTTCGTCTTTAATTGAGTGGGACCCTAATTTAAATATTGGATGCAGTGATGTGACCAAATTTATACTTGAGCAACATGAATCGTGTTATTAGACCCAGTGCCTGTAGTCGAAATATGTACTCAAATTGAAAATATTGATATACTAATGAATAATTAATGTATTATTGGTTTTCGATATTTTAAGTATCTATATAAAAAATGTTTGTTTTCTGTTGTGCTAAAAAAAACTTCCAAATTATACCACGTGCAAGTATGAATTTGTTATCAAGTTAGAGATATTCATATGAACTCTTTAACACATCTCATTTAGTAAATTACGTCCCAGAATGTATCAAGAACTTTTATGAAATTACCAAGAGAGCCGTCGACAACAGTATGACTAAATCAATTACTGTTATCCATTAAAGCTGAAGTAGTATAAATACGACTAGACCGACCCCGACAAAGTTCACAGAGAAGAATTGTAGCATTCCCTTCTAATCGGGCGATAAATTGTACAGGTTTATCGGAATACTCATTTATATAGCGGAAGCAAAAGGACCTCTTTGTAATTATTAAAACTTTGGAGTGGGACTAAAACGTAATTATAAAAATTCTCTTCTTTAGGATATTTGAAACCTTTGTGATTTTCGAATACTTTCTTAGGAGTACTTTAGTCGACTAAATGTTTCGTTTGAAAAAAACTTTCGAAAGGAAGAGTTTGTTCGAGTGCTACACTATCAACCTACTTATTTTATTTTTGGTTTAAAAAGAAATCAGAGTCTTGAAAGATATTTTGGTGAACGTTAAGTAATTATACTAAACGGAGTGTTTATATAATAATGAAGTGCGACGTACGATACATACCGGTTTTTAAGTTCGTTAGATAAGCAAAAGATACGGAAAGGGAAATACCTATGTCTAATATTACATCACCAAAATTAGTATAATATCTTAGCATCGTTCATAGGCGCTCGTACTACTTCCAAAAAATCCCAGGCAAGACATCGATCCGCTACTCGATCCATCCCGGTAGATGGTTACTGTGCAATTAAAAGACATCTATA